GTTCAAATAGAGGCCACCGTCGGGAACAAGGCATATTCATCAAATCGAGTCTACGAGAGGACAGTCAAGTTGCGCCGGAATTATTTTTTACATAATCGCTGTGTAATAATCAGTTGTCTAATTCGAATTATTAAGAAATAAATTTTTGAGTTTTACCCACGCCGATTTTAATCATCCGTTCAACGCAACAATATTCTCTCTACTAGAGCACGAAAAAATGGGTACCCCGTTTCCGTCTGTCTGTCTGTCGTTTGTCATCTATCTGAGTCCATTCTACACACATAATCTCTGAAACTTTTGACCGATTCTGATCAAATTTTATACGAATTCAAATTTTTCCCAATAAATACTATTATATAAACTTTAAAAATAACATACCAACTCTTTTACTTGTAGTTTATGAATCCCCCTTGAGTTTTTCGATTTAGTGTATGTGGCATTTTCTTCCTACATTATGACTCGTATTGTTTATATCTTTTGAATTATAGAGGTTATCATAAAAAAATTTCCAAAATCAGTTTCTATACATTTTCGAAGAAGCGGAATATTTTGGATTGTATTTGAGGGCAGAAGAAAGTGTTTTGTCTCAATAATTTTAGATCCAATTTTTCTCCAAAAATAAGCCTTGAAGGAGTGTTGGTTCTGCTCTAGAGGCAAAGGAGGTTTAAAAGATAACAATACATTTTTAATGCATATTTTAGAAAATGTTGCGTTTTTTCAAATAAAAACAATTAGAATGTGAACCAAGATCATAAAAATATATGTGAACATAGATGGGACGGTCAATGATGTTTGTTTTATTTTAGTGATTTTATAAAAAAATGCACACCTGTATGGTACAAAATTACCGATTTATTAATTTATTGATAATATCTTCAATTTTTTGCATTTGCCATTTAGCTGAAAATAAAATTAATGATTTTCCAGACACCCGGTATATTATACTTTAATTACCCACACCCCGTCACTGTCTGATTCTGGCGCATTCTGTAAAGAAAACGCTCTTGTTTATATTTTATTTGGAGTGACCATGAGAGGAAACGGATTAACAATTGCTCCAAAAATTCGAATGCGTTGATAAAAGTAGAGACTGCCGGTTTTAGTGAGTTCCCATTTGAGAATGTTTCGATCAACATTATTTCAGCAACATTTCTGTCAATAATAATAACAAAACACTGACAGACAGACAGAGAGACAGACGGAAACAGGAGACACATTTTTTCGTTCTCTCATTACTCGGCTACGACCTACACAGACATTTTTGTCAACCAATTGTGATGAAAAATCAAGGCAAATTGATAAACCACAATTACAATTAAATTTAAAAACAACACTCATTACTGTCATATAAATAAGAATAAAACTAATAGACTCAACAGATTAAATTTCACGTATACAAGATAGTCTGATTTGGTTTTAGAGGGTATTAGCTGATGATCTTCTAGCAGCATATAACATTTTTTTCTTTTTAATAATAATAAATCATAACTAACGTAATGATTCAATATACTGCAGCTAATTTTTTTTCATAAGCTGATGTTTCATTAATGTAAGCCACAATATTAGATACTAAGATTATAATTCACTAGCCGTAATAATATAAATAACTGCCCTTGCCAATTTATCCAAGAATGTCCTAAATTTATCCTAAAACAAGGAAACCGTACACAACTTCACCCACGCACTCGTATTTTCCGATCTATCTATTGCAACGGAATTTTCAGGGGCAAAAATTTTCATTAAAGACAAATAAAAAGAACATGTTTTAGCAAAGCACGAAAAACATTTCTAGGTAGCTATCGTCTAGTGTTTCCACCGATCCGGACTGTCAGCTCTGATTAGTTCAACAGAGGAAAGCGTAGGGGTGGTGAGGCGAATTAAGAAAAGGTATCTTTATACTTATAAATATATTGACACTGCCGTCATTTCGAAATTTTGCGTCAACAATCAACCTGTAAGTTTAAAAAAAACCTCTCTCTTTGTAAAGAGTGACATAATACAGTATTACAACGTGATTTTCGTGCACAAGATTTTTGTTGGAGGCAAATATTTTGTTTAGAGACTCCCACACAAGTCTGTGGCTGCTTTGTGGTGTTTGCTGGTGTTCTTTCTGGCAGCTCGAACCGAAAAAACTCGATGTTAACTCGACGTTTACAGTGCGAATCTACACTAATCCTCTAAAGCTGCATTTTGTCGTTAGGTAGCGTGAGTGGACAAACTACTGCGAGATGAAACGATAACCAAGTCGTAATCTTTTTGACTTGTGTTTCCCGGACTTTCCACTGTTCACTTCTCGTGCGTGTAAATTCCTCCTACTAGTTCCTAATTTTTCCCCGAATTCCCGGCCGGAGATTAGCGTAAGTGAAACATAAGGGTCGGCCCTGGTATCGGGAAGCCGAATAAAAATCAACAAAAACGGAAGTTCTCTCTCGGCGGGATGGAAGGTTTCGACTTTTACAAGAAGTTATGTAACATTTTGTTCGCCCCATGGGAGGGCTATAATAAAGACGTGACGGGAAAATGGTCGGGCACCCCGTTTATAGGAAAGAATGGGTTCGGAGCCCGCAGGTTTGTGGTATAGGCCGTCCCAGAAGAGGCCCGTAAATGCGTCGCGTACTCTTCGGGACGCAGCACTATATTATCATCAAGTCTTCAAGGAAATAGAAAGTAACGTCTTCAAAGAGCAGATTTATGTCGGCGACTTTTTCGATTTAATCCTGGTCGGGTTAATGAAAATCGGGATAAGCCAAAATTCCTGCACGGAATCTGGAAGGCATCAGATTGTGAATAATCAGCGATTCCGGACCCATTAAATACCGGTCTCGCATTTCCCGCCGATTGACTTTACGCAAACTTTGTATACACAAAAAGCGATTGAAGTTGGGACTCGCGTAATAGAAATGAGATCGAATCAAAGGAAGCAGAAAACGGTCCATTTGATTTTTTCTCTTAAGGCTCTTGAATTTCAAATAAAAAGCTTCTAGACCGCTCATGCTGACACAGATTGAAAATGCAAACTTGTTCTTATGCAACTCGCCCGAGAAGTTTCACTCTACTCGTTTAACTTTATTATTACTTGCCACGGTAATTATTACGCACTACATGAAAGGGTATGACGGTTAACCATGTCACAAGCGAACTTGCTAGTGACACGTTTAAAACACAAGCAATATTTAATTGAAAATAGGTCGTCCTAGAACGAAAAGTGAAAATAGCAAAAACAATTTCCAGGAAAGTTTTCAATTTCGTCGTTACTGCTATATTTGGCCTATAAATTGAATTACGGGTAACTAATAGCGTACAAAGTCTGCTTAATATAACTGAACAAACATGACCAACACGTTTCTTCCCCATTAAAATCTTGCAAAATTTGCAGTAAATCTTAATTAAAATTCATATAAAGCATACATTCGTGGCTTATCTTGTGAAAAATATTCTAGCTGTGAAAGATCAAACTAAAATTTTGCCTAATCCTGTTGTAATGAGAAAAATCGTGAAATCTAGATGAAATTCCGACGACAATGCAGCCCAGCCCATTCAAAGGTAAATAGTTAATCCTCAACCCGAAATTAGAGCCAGCGCAAAACTCTCTTTCTTTTCATTAACCAAATTGATTTTTCACTTATCTCTTCATTAGCCCTGTATCAAATACGTCCCCATTGAAATGAAAAGCTAACCCAATTAAAATTTAGACTAATCCTTACTATTTCATCGTCGGGAAAGCTTTTAGTCGGCTAATTATTACCAACAAAGCGCGATATTCAGACCTTATCTCCGACAATGTTTGCACTTGACGACACGAGCTCTCGAACATTTCTCTCTCGTAAAAGAAAGCTCCCGACTTCGCTAACATCTTTTTCTGTAATTTTACCAATCTGTCGCTCCGCTATCAATAAGAACGCGAGATTTCAAATGACTCGCTGCGCGCAATTAGCAGCAAACATGTGTTTGTCAGACGGAATTGTAGCTTTTGTAGATACTCGACAAATCAATAGAGTTCGGAGTGGTGTTCGGTTTTCTACAAATAAATTTACATCCAAGCTCCAAAATATTCCAGGCTTTTAATCAATTTATTTTTTATATAAATTAAACTGTGTAGGCGGCTGTGATAAATTTAATGAATCCTTTTAATGCCCACATTATTCAATTGAAAAGAATTTTTACCGGTGTCACAAGATTCTAATTTTAGATTTATTTTGTTCCTGTGGTATTTTCAGTTTCAGACTTCATGTGCTTTGATTTTAATTATTCAACGGGATTATAACAGGTCGTACGTCAAGTACGTTTTGCAAAATCTGTCACTGCATTTTTAATTAGAATTTGCCGTTTCCTCGAGATGGGTAGTAAATCTATCACGCGAGCTGAATTATTGGTTGCCTATCTATCACACAGCAAACAACGAAAAAGCTTAAAAATTAGGTTATGACTGACGTCTGTGACAGGCAACGAATAGTCATCAATCTTTACAACGAGGCACAAAAATCACGAAATTTCAAAGCCAGCTTGATGTGTGATCTTTCATAATTATTTTGTATTACATATTTGCATCCTTAAAGAAAACATATCATTGAAATTTCCTCCTGGACTTTAGTGTACTAGACAGTATTTGCGCTTGGTGACAAGCTCTCAAACATTTCTCCCCCTCGACAACTCAGCATCTTTTCTTTAATTTTAGCAATCTCTCGTTCCGCTATCAATAAGAACGCCAGGCTCCAGATGACTCGCAGCGCGCAATTAGAAGCAAACATGTGTTTGTCAGGCAGAATTGTAGCTTCCGCGAGGTACTTGACAAATACGAGCAATGTTTGAAAAAACAGACGAGTTGAGAGATAATCCGGATTAAAAATGAGATACGTGCCTGGCTGTGCGAACGACGCGTGGCGCGGTCGGAAGTAATCCTAACAAAGCCGACAAAATATGGGCTTACACAAGACTAACTCCGCCATGCATCAATTATTGTCACCAATCAATCCTCGACTTGAGCATTTTTTCTGTTACAGTGACGGCGGCTGTTAGCTGGGAGGAGTGGTGGACGTATGACGGGATTTCGGGTAAGTCTTTAGGGTAGAAATGGGGTAATAATCCGCCGATTGACAGTTATTATTGTGTATCAAATATGTACGGGGCGCTGAAGCGAGTGGAACTCAGCAACCAATACCGAATGCATGGGGGACGGGGTGCTGAAATTTTAACCAGAGAAATGTGATTGTTATTTCATGGTGTTCATGTCGATGAGAGATGGGCTATAGTAGATGGGTACACATGAAGGTGTCTAATATTTTATTGTGCGTTCAAAGGAGCGGGGGGTTTTGTCGATAAATTCGGTATTTTGGTTTTAGTGCGGGAAACCGTGATTTTGCGGCCAAAGAAAGCGTTATCATGGATGAGCATTTCGTGGATTTTTAAATCATACCGTAGTGGATATCTTCAAAGTAGACACTCAAAAATCAAGAGAAAACAGGAGCAACTTAGAAGAGGTTTAATTTTTTTTGTTATGATCTATATCAAGGAATACAGACAAAAAAAATTAAACAGTGTGATGACATTAATAAATGATCACCAAATAATAAAATAATCAAATGAAATTTTTGTGGAACTCTAAAAATTATATTTAAAGCAAAAGACTGATACAGGGTATTTATGTACTATTTTTTTTACATACTTTAGTTAGCCTCTTTAAAAACATATATAATTATTTAAATATTATCATTTCAGAATATTGTCATGTTTAGAGAGCGGATTTTATGAAATTTGCATATCCGTTATTTTTTGCATATGAGTCTTGATATTTAATATGTGAACGAATCATGCTAATTAAAAGTGAATACAGCTATAAAAAAATTGCATATTTGCATATATTTGCCTTCTACTGCATATTTCACGTAACGGGTGCATATCTTGCATTTTTATCAATTTTTGTGCTAATTTGAAAAAAAAAAAATTGTCATTCTATCGGCATTTATCTAGAAAAACGAAATTTCATTAATCATATTACAAATATTGTCCTGAGCTTCAAATAACTAGTGAAGGTTTGGGTTTTATGGTAGTTTGGAGAAACCACCGGGTTTCCGGTAAATTCGGGCTCTAATTACTTTTGGAAATACGGTTCATTCCCCATATTTTTGTTCGTTACCTAAGTGTATAAATGTTATGTTTTATGGTAGTCGAAGGGACGTTACCCTATTATTTTTCATCGTAAGTTTGCATTGAAAGAATTTAAAGCGATACAGGTGTACGCACTTTTTTTACTTACAAAAGCATATTTTAGAATCACCGGAAAAACTTTTTGTTAGAATATTTCGAAACATATTTAAAAATAAACTGTTACGAAAATAGTAATTAAATAATCGATTACTACTATTTTTCAATCTGTTCTGCTTATATTTGTATTTTAGTATAACAACATTAACTTTAAAAATGTGATTTATGTGTTAGTGAGAATTAATCAAACACTTTGCAATGTGATTTATGTATTTTTTGTAATAAAACGTACGCCCGGGAAACCTGTTTTTGTAATTTGTAAATAAATTTAGTTCGGTTATTATGATTTTTTTTGAATTTTTGGAGCATATGCAACTGCATATCTCTGCATATATTAAGAAAGTTACTGCATATTTGCATAAATTTGATGCATATCATATGATCATATTTCCCAAAATTTTGCTGCATATTTTCCGCTCTCTAGTCATGTTCGTGTATCCGTTAATAAAGTGAAAAAATTGGTCTAAACCTGTTTAGACAAAATTTTCCTCGTTCCTTAAATATATTTGAACACATCCAATTTTTTCTAAAAAATAATAAAATTTGATTTTGAAAAATTTAATATATTTTAATGACAAAAAACCCAATCGCGATGTTTCTCACGTTTGAGCGAAATGTCGGCTACACGAAACACTTAGAAAAAATAATTGAAATAAAAATCATGGCGGATTCACAACTTACAAATGCAAAAGTATATCATTTTATGAAATTTAGATAACATTTACTACGCAAAATTATAAGGGGACGTCATCAAATTTTTGGTGGGGATGGTTTAACAAATTTTGTTTAACGTTTTACTATCTGCACGATGTTCTTAAATCACATATAAAATTTGATAACAGTCGGTTCACTAGTTTGGAAGATTAAGACGATAGACAGACGGAAAAGAGAGAAATGTTTTTTGGTATTCATGAAATGTCGACAAAACATGGTAGTCATTCGCCATGTTACAATACTTCCTTAGTTTACGCTCGAGAAATAAAATCATTCAAAATACTAATTTTAGGCATAGAAATTACAAAATAAAAAACTAGTCGACACAGACGACAGGCAGATAGACGGAAAAGTTCTATTTGGTCATGTTCTAAAGATCTTGAAACATCGAGAAAACGTGAAAGTGAAGACGAAACAGAATAAAATGTAATATATACATTGTTTTCGATGAAAAAACTAAGACACGACTCTAAAAATTACAATATATTTTTTAAACACCCTGTAAATTAAAATTCAACTTTATCTCTATACTAAAGTAATACTAAAAGTGGACCTATTCTAAAATGTTTGTAAGCTTTTGGATTGTTAAAAAAAACTTGGCAACGTTGCATTGGACTCTCAAAAGTACAATAAGTATATAGGGTATTAAAAGTTAATAAGGACACATAAAAAAATAATATTTCATTTAAATTTCGCCTTAAAACATAGAACAATCTGTATATTAATTTTAGATTATGTAAATCAAGTAAAGTACAACTTTAACTTTTGACTTTCCGAACAAGAACTAAGGAAGTATTATAATAAAGCCCACCTAAAGGCTACTTTCATGTTTTTTCGACGTTTCATAACACCTACAAAATGAAAACGTAGATCTTCCGTTTCCGCCTGTCTGTCCTCCATCTGTCGCCTTTCGTCTGCCGTGTGTATCGATATTTATTAAACTGATACTCTCCAAAACGCTAAACACAATTTATTTGATGATCTCCACCAACAATTTGATGACGTCACTTAAAAATTTTCCATGGTAAATGCTGGTTCAGTTTTATAAAATAAATAACTTTAAACCAATTTTTTGGTCTTTCTAATAGTTAAGGTAAGCCTGGTTTACCAAATATGATAAATTTTCTTTAATTCTGTGAGACATTGCTAACAGTAGTAAGTACAGCACCGACTGCGTGATCACACTCTTCAGACGGCTATTTATTCGTCCAGAGTCACAAGCAAACTTGAATTAAATGTATGACTTCCTTTAAAAGTATAAATTTTGGGAATAAAAAGCTAGTTTTATTTGAATCTGTTACAATTGACATTAACGGGATACATGTTACAAACATTTTGGTCCCTTTTTTAACGCTTTTTTTTAAGCTTTATCATGAAAATATAGACCAGTTTATTTTATCAATTACAACAAAAACAGCTGCTTTGCTACTCTGGAAATTCTGGGAATACAGAATTTAATGTCAACTCACTTTTTTTTTAAATTTCGTATTTCTTCCGCATAAATTTGGACGTTACAGTTGAGCTCCGCCCCCCGGTCTCGCAACGGATAAGAAATTAATCACAATTGAGACAAGGCGGGTGGGTGGGGCATAATTTTCGCTTTCTTTTTCTTAATATAACTTTCTTTCATCAACACGATACTTAAAACATGTTTCACGTGAAAATTGTTTGTAGAGAAATATAAATTTTGCAATTAAGCTCCGCCTCCCGTCTCACGACGAATAAAAATATGACCATTTATTTGGGGATGGTGAGTGGGGCTTATCGATTGACTTTGTTTTCGTAATATACGTAATCTTCTTTCAACAATAAATTACTTAAAATATAAAAAGGTGAGTTTGAAGTTAGAATTATGTTTTACGTGTCGTGTCATTGAAATAAAGTTCTATATATTAATAAAAAGAAGCCAATAACTAAGCCCCGCCCACCCACCCCTATCTCTATTGTGATGAATTTTTCATTTGTTTTCAGTTCGAAGGGTGGAGCTTAATTACAAAATCCATATTTCTTTACAAAAATTTACCATTTTTAACATATTTTAAGTTTCTTGTTGCGAAAAGTTGATTTTTTTTTTAATTGCGGGCCGGGGGGTCGGGGCTTAATTTCAAAATCCGTATTACTCTACAAAAAATTACGTGTTTCGCTTTCGTTTTTTTAATATAACCTTCTTACAACGACGATACTTGAAACATGTTTCACGTGGAAATTTTTTGTAGAGAAATATAAACTTTGCAATTAAAAAATACAATTTAGTATGGGTGGGTGGGTGGGGTTCTCCTTTGACTTTATTTTCTTAATATACATAGTCTTCTGTCAACAATAAATTGAAATATTAAATGGTGAATTTGAAGTTAAAATTAAGTTCTAAGTGTTGTGTTATTATTATTATTAAATAAAACTCCATATATTTAGAAAAAGAACCCAAAAATTAAGGAGTGCCTACCCACCCCTACCTCTATTGTGACAAATTTTTCATTTGTTGTCACTTCGATGGACAGAGGTTAATGAGCTCAATTACAAAATCCATTTTTCTACACAAAAATTTACCATTTTTAAAATATTTTAAGTTTCTTCTTGCGAAAAAAAATGTTTTTATTAATCGAGGGCCGAGGGATCGGGGCTTAATTTCAAAATCCTTATTTCTCTACAAAAAATTACCATGTGGAACATGTTTTAAGTATCGTGTTGTTGGAAAAAAAAAATATTAAGAAAAGAAGCCCATGATTAAGCCCCACCCACTCGCCCCTATCTGAATCGTAATCAATTTTTCATTCGCTATCAGACCGAGGGGCGGAGCTTAACTCCATAATCCATATTTGTCTACAATAGTCTACCATTTTAAACATGTTTTAAGTTCCGTGTTGTGAAAAAAAGACAATGTGTATTAACAAAAAAAGACGAAATATAAAGCTCTATTAGCGCTTAATGCCAATTTTAAACATTTCTCTGCATTTATAAAAACCACAAAGTACATTCTTAAACCAATTGTATTTTGTGAAACAAAAATTTAAAAAAATTCCTTTTTCGCCAGCCGTCTTAAAAGATGTCACTTTTAACGTCAATTTTGGACGGAAAACTTGACGTTTTTGTGAGAGTAAAAAAAAGTTGCGTTACTAAAGTAACAACGTCATTTTTGCCTTTTTAATCCTAGCATTAATTTTTTTTTTTAATCCTAGCCTTAAAAAGTTTTCAATTGTTTTATTTTGAGAATGAAATGCTATTAATATTTTCCAATTTTATTATTAACTTACATTGTTATTAATTATTTAAATTTTAAAATTAATATTGAATGTACAATAAGAACAACTGCGATTGATTTGGATTAAAGATTTTCCGTCACTATTATCATTTTTCATGCGGTCAGTAATAATATTTTGCGCTAACACTTCTACCGCTCCTGCTGTCTGGTTGGTCACAGTGTCAAAATTCAGGTTTACTGCTCCCACATTCCTACTTATTCCGTCTTCACGTGTGATCATTCTATTCGTAGTTCCACTACTTGTATCTGATTCTTCTAGGTTTACTTCGCTCACATTCCTATTCGTTGCGTCTTCATGTATTTTACTTGTGGTTTCACTACTTGTACCTGGTTCTTCCAAACGAAAAATTTTTTTTGCTACATCTTTTTTGTGTTTAAGAGACTCTTCTATGTAACCTTCGGCTACACTGTCAGATTTCCACCCACCGTGCCTCTTGAGGGACGTAATATCACCGCCAGAATCCACAAAAAGCGTGGCAGAAGTCCGACGTAGGCAATGTCCGCTGTATTCTTTAAAGTTTTCTAGCTTTAAATATTTGGCTACTTCTTGGGGTACACCACTAATTTTATGAATGCCAACTACTTGTCGATGGCACATTCCGTCGACATATTTAATAAAAAACCGACCTTCATTAAACATTTTTGGACGAAGCGCAACATACTTTTCGTAAAATTTCAAATACTTTTCCCCCATAACCGTAAATGATCTGGGTTTTTTCGTTTTGGTATCAGGAATTTTTACCAATAAACCTGCTTTAATATTTTCAATATCTTCAGTTTTTATTTGTAATAGTTCGTGACACCGACAAGCTCCGCTAACGCCAAAGATTACAACAATCTGAAAAAAATTCGTAAAATAAATATAAGCTCTTCATTAGGTTATAAACATACTTTCATCATCAGGAATTTGAAATCCGGAGCCGTGTCTAAGAAAACTTCTATTTGTTCATTAGTTAAAACCCTTGATTTCTTTGGAACGTATCCTTCTCCTTGTTTCTTTATAAACGCTTTTAATTTTGAATACTTTCCGATTTCTATGCCATTTTTTATATTTAAAGTTGCTTTCACCATGGAATACTGCGACCACAGTGTGGATGACTTCATTTTTGTAGCCAATTCGGAAAAATATACCAATAAGACGTTCTCAGAATAAGTTTGAATCGTTTTCCCTTCGCACCATTTGATGAAGCGGGTATACGCGCACTCATACACTTCGCGCGATTTTGTTGGTAACAAGTTCAGTACCACGTTTTGTGCTTCTTCTAGCACATCGGGAGGTAACTCTTCTTCAGGATTCATTATTAACACTGCAAACGTTTTCACAAAACAATGGTATGTAAGCAAACAAAAAAAGCCTTGACGACGTGGATACCAGACTACTTTGCAGATTGATTCATTTCTGCTCGATATTATTGTTATCAATATTTTGTATTTTTGAGATTTACTTTTTGGCTGGCGAAAAAGTAGTATGTTTCATTCGGATTAAAAGTCAGTTTTTGACTCGCAATTTTGCATCCGCTCGGCTTCGCTTCGCTCCGCCTCGCAAATGCAAAATTTGCTCGTCGCAAAAAATGGCACTTTTAATCCTAATAAAACAATCTACTATTATCTACAAAATTTTTACACCCAGCTATTTTGACGAAACTGTAAAATTTGCTATATGTCAATAGCGATTTAAAAAAAACAGTAGCAATTTTCGAAGAAACGAGGCTTATCGTAATCTAATATTAGCCCCGCCCACCCACCCTCTCTTTTCCTAGAGGATATGCCACTTGCCAAAATCAGCGTTATTTTATCAAATCCTAGCCCCACCCACCCCCACTTTATTTTCTTGGAGTGTATGTCCTTTGCCAAAAGTCGTCTTATCTTAGCAAGTACTAGCCCCGCCTACCCCCCTCTTCTCTTTCTAATGACTAATTTTATTTCTGTTCAGTATAAGATCATTCATTTCATCCAGACCGGATAAAATCAATCACTGAAATGGAGGCAGGGTGGATGGGCAGGGCTAATTTTGTTTTTCTGTTGAGTGGGAGTGGAAGCTAATGGAATCTAGGATGTGAAAAAAATTAACAAAATGTTAAAAATTAAAATTGTGTTAATGAAGCCGAATGTAATTCTGAAGATCTACATCTACAAGAAAATGTGCTTTGGTAATTTTCGAAAGTGGTCAACAACGGGTCGAAATTTTTGTAGTCAATATTGGAAATTTGGAATTTCCAGGAAGTTACCAAAAAATCCACAAAAAAATCTGAGGTATCGATCTCGACGTGCTAGTTCAGAAAATAAAACGTGTTTGTGGTATCCGATCTCCATTTTCAAAACTTTCTTCTTTAAATTCATTTTTGTTAATCCTAAAAATCGTCATTTATCAATGGGCGATTCCGAAAAAATGGTAGGACTTATCAAAAAAACGAAGCCAAAAGTAACTTTTTGATGTCGAAATGTACAAGAAAATGTGTGGTAATTTTCGAAAATGAGTCGAAATTTTCATATTAGAAATTTGAGCTTTAAAAAAGTTACCAAAAAATCCACAAAAATTGTGGGATATAGATCTCGACGTGCTGATTTGAAAAATATACTGTGGCAGTCAACAGGATATCGATGATTCATTATCGTTAACTTCAAAAACTATTGAAAATGACACCACCAGGTGCCAAACATATTACACATTTTTATAAGTGAATTTTATTTGGTTACAAAGTTGATTTTTACAACTGCCTTTCGCGATTTTTGTACTTTCTGCCTGCACATGCCACAGTTTTAATAAACAACTTTTTTCAAGAGTAAATGAGATGGCATTTACGTCGGAAGTTGGAAAACCTGGCGATACAATAAATATAAAACTTTCCTCAAAGCGTAGCATTTTTTGCACTCAACATACAAAATTAATGTATATTCTGTTGTACAAATAACAACAGTTTAAAGCTCGGTCTTAAAATTACATGCAAACTAAATACGATAAATAAATAAAAATTCGCTCAACTAAAGATCAAAGCACATTCGTAAAGTAGAGTTCAAACCCGTTGTGTTTAGAGTAGCGAGGAGTGAAGTTTTGGGGGAAAAAATATTTTATTTAATAAAACGACAAAAATCTATCATTCTGTATTCAAAATTGGAGTAAAAAAATTGATATTTCGTTAGGAAAACTAGTAAAATTTTGTTCATTATCTTCGTAACTGTAAAGTGGTTTTGCGTCTAGTATATCCTAGACAGAGGACTCTTATTTAATGTAACTACCGATGTCATACGCAGGAGACCTCGTCCGGGCAATATTTAGGAAAGTTTTGCGATAGGGTTACTTTGATAATATCCAACTTGATAATTTACTGGTATTTCATCATTTAAAATACGATATACAATGTTCCGTTTCAATCTGTCGTCTGCTCACGTACCATTTTTTTTTAGAAAAATAAAAAAATATCTTACCATTAATTAGATTTATTCCTAGTTTTAACAGTTCGTTATTATTGTAAAATATTTAAGTCCTTTACAGAATGAATAAAACAATTGTTTTCCTAATGGAAGAATTTTTATGTTATGAGGAAAGTTGTAAAATCAATTATGAGCCCCGTATTAATGAAGTTAACTTTTCCATATATGTGCAAAAATTTCAGTGTTCGAGAAAAGTATTCATAACAATTACTGTCAACGCAATGTTTATCACGGCGTAAGGATGCATTGTATTTCCCCACGGTGTGTAATTCTTTTGAACTCGTAATGGTTATCTGTAATCGATTTGGAAGAAAAATTACTGCTTTTGACAGGCTCACATGAAACTAATTTAAAAATTATATTAAATCCAGTAGAATCGACAAATACTAGGTGGAAAGACTGCACCGGAGATAACGTCATTTATTATTCGAGTCTGAAATACATTTCATAATGAAAGCGCTTAGTATTAATCACGAGATGTCATTTAAATATTACGATAAAACTAGCGTTGGTATGAAAGCGGCTCTTTAAAAATAAATGCGCCTAAATTTAGCGAAATATGAGTCTATAAATGAAATAGGTTCCAGTAATGAAAATAGGGAGCGCCGGAGATAATTTCTTGGCTTAGCATAAAAAGATGTTTACTTCCTCCATTTAGTTCTAAGTGAAACAAACACAATTTGCATTTCACATTTAGGAAATTTTTTAAATTAACTTTGCTGTATACATCAAGTTAGTTTGCATACATTTCCGGTCCATTTTCATTGCGCTGCACAAAATGTTGCCATACGAAAAAACCAAATAAAGTACACCCGAGTTCTAAACTCTTTTACAAAGCAAATATATTTACTCGGAAAGAGTGCAGTTAAAGATGTAGTGCCTGCAACTTTTTCATAGTTAGTAAGTAATTTCATTAAACAGGAGACGGATAGCGGTTCTTTTAAATTGGAGATATACCGCCCAACTTTGAATATAAATAAAAAGTCGGACGCTAAGAGGTGACGATAACGATTTGTTGCCTCTGGTGCCATTCTTTTCTTCTAATATGACAAGGAAACTCCATATAACTTGTCCAACTGTCCACAACTCGCTGTATTTTATTTGACCAATAAGTTCGCCGGCGTGAGAAAAAGTTTCACTAAACTGCTTTAATATTTAAGGACGACATGACGCGAAAATGGGTTTCGGATACAGCGGGCTTTCCCGATTGTCGACCGCCAGATTTAATTATAATCAAACCACCAAAAGCTTTTTAGTTTGAGTCGGTTCGTTTTGATTCGAAATACAAAGCGTGTAGTTGCGGCAGATTCAAATAGTGTTTTCAGTTTTAAATTGACTCGGACAGCGGATGCAAATTGTAATGAGCACGAAAAATCGTGTCGGGTTTCCGTGCGATGGTCAACACTCGCTCCAAAACGTCAATATGTGCATTGGATAGAAATCCGTTAAGATTTTTAAGTGCAAACTGTTTTCAGTCCACAAGCGATTATCGCAAAGTAGATTATAAATTTTATTCGATTAAAAAAATTTGATGTGATCGTTGTCAAGCACTCAAACGGCAGATATGAATTTGATTTTAATAATTTAATTTAATTGCAAAATATGTATGACATCTGCAGTTAATTTATTTTCATAAATTCACATTCGTGCTGTTTAAATTCATCATAAAAATGGTATACGCTTTTAATTAAAACGCAAAGTGTTGAACTTATAAAATCAATATATTTGAATGCACTTGGAATAGATGAACCAATTATTTCTTTACTGTAAGAGAAAGTTTTCGCCATTACTTGCTTAAAGATAGTGAAAACAAGCACAAATTCGTAATTCTACGAAAAATTCTGATAAGAACGACCCCTTTTCAGCTTGATTTAACAAAATTTATATTTTAGATAAAAATGGTGGAGGCGCCGGGATATAAAACAATATTTCTATCAATTTGTATATGAAGTAACACATTTTAGGCAAAATGATGAATTTCTGGTGATTTCCTACTATCTAAACAAAAAGAATAAAATAATTACAGATTTGAACCAAGATAAACCTACTCAGACTGACTACAGTAATTTTTTTTGTAAAAAAAAAATGTATTGTTTTTCGTTACTTGAAAAGAAACTGACAAGAGACGAACAGATTGGTGAGCCTGAGAAAATTTCCGATGAAAATAGCTCCCTCTCAAACACATGTATCGACTTTAGTATTTCGACCAAAATGGTGGATGCGCCGGGATAACATAAAATTAAAAAATATTTATTTCAACAATTCGTAAGGGACTTCGTCATAAAATAATGCATCTTGAAAGTAATTATATAGTACCTTAAATATTTAAATATAGCACCAAAATAATAAATATAGCACAGATTTGAATCAAGATTAATTGTTAATCAATTTTTCTTTAAAATGGTGGAGACGCCGGGAAATTAAAGTTACAAAAATGGATTAAGCCTTTCTGGAAAACTTCTGAATATTTGTAAACCTTGTGTGTCTGCAATAAATGTAAAACTTAATCGATTACCGTTGTAAATCGAAAAATTGAAAAATTTAAACGGAGAAACTGAAAAATCAATTGATTGAGAAATCGAAAAATTAAAAAAAATACTAATCGCAAAACCCAAGATACATAAAATTGAAAGATCACAAAA